AAAACGTTGTTTGAACGTTCTAGTTTATATTTTTCGACTACAAAAAGTGTGACGATATTTAGGCTATTTTTGTGTTTAAAGACTCGGAATAAAGTGGCGAATTATCTCGTGTAGACATTTTATAGACAGTTCAATTAATCGGGAACACTAGTCTTAAAGTGTTCCCATGTCTCACATACAATCTGTGAGTCTCTAACTTGAGCATCAAGCTGCTTCTTAACTAATGTGAAACATGTTTTCTGTTGGAGTTAAGTCGAGATCTCGCTGGGATACAAAATAACTCGCATCCCTTTCCTTTATAGCTATCTTAGCTGCTAGGCTTTGCTGAGATGGGTCGTTGTCCATTATGAACCATTTTCTTCTACACTTGCACGATAGTAGTTCTCGAAATTAGGTATCGGTCATTTCTCATATTCTTCTACCAATACAACCCCATTGTTGTGAGAAATTGCGACCAGTAAGTGAAGCTGTTTTCCACCCACAAAGTTTTTAGGTCCTTTTGCAGTCGATTGTAAACCCTCGCTCTTTCTTTTCCATACACACCCTCTAGGGGCTAAAGCATCACTAAGAGTTGTGTCTTATAAACAAAAGAAACCCTGTCTAAATAGAAGGCAATGTTTCGCCAGAAGAATCCGGGCTTTCTTTTTTTTGCAATCACAACTTGTTAAAACCCCTTTTTATGTGCAGGTAGATAATCAAATGCTGCTTTCACCTCACGATCAAATGTAATGTGATAGCAACCCACTGTGCGCAACCAAGCGCTTAACAGTAAAATTTGGGTCTTTATCTAAAATTTGGGTCTTTAAGTTTTTATTGTTCTTGTTAATTTTCTCTGATCTCTATCTGACAATCTACCAATTTTCTTGCATGTTTTCAAATCTTGCTTGCACTGAACTTTTCCTGTCAGAATAAGAGAGACTGACGATTTAGATATTTTTGCTTTTTTAGCAATCGCTCTGCAGGAATATTGTTTCTCTTTGCCTAGAAATAGCACACATGCTTATGTTGCATCTGAAATAGTTGTTTTATAAGCCATTATTACTTGGTTTCTATATAACTAGCTCTTATTTATAGCATACATACTGTGCTTGCATTTGCTTTCGAATGTGTTTACCAGCCCTAAATTCCAGATTGCTCTACTAGTTTGCTTGCAGTTGCAAACTACGAATTTCCCAATGTTCAAGTAGTTCTGGAAACGTGAATAAACACATAATTAAACATGTAAATTAACCATGTTTACGGCATCTATTATATTTGTAAACACCATTGGTTATACTTTTAAATACAAATAATTCTGACAATCAGTGACAAAATACTTTGGACAAAATAGCAAAAGAGACAACATGTAAATGTTCAATGTTGTGTGGGGAAATACCTGGACAAAATGTTGCTTGCCAGTGACCCAACATTGTTTAGGGTGGGGGGAGGCAGGGATAGTGTTATATCCTGAACAAATTTGGAAATGAATAGAATAGAATAGAATATATTTGCTCACAAAAAATATTTACAATGGAAATATAGTTAAAATACAATAATATAAGGGAGCTAGGGACCTTTTAAAATCCTGTTGGACTTTTGATATAAGGCCCCTATATTGTTTTGATTAAAATTAAATACATGAATCTAAATTGGTTCAATAAATATCATATATGTTTTAGCTAACAATATTTATATTAACAAGTATGTTGGAAAGTATTAACATTAAGTAATATATGTATATAGTTACCGCTGTACAGTGGGACAGTAGTAAAAACAACAACGTTGAGCGTACGTTTAAAACCTAAATCAACTGAAGCGAGATATTAAGTGAAATTCCTTTTGTATTCTAAGTATAAAAAGTCATAAAATCTGTTATATAAACATTGTGAGTTATTGTCGGATAGCAAGCAAAAATTCCCGACAAAGTGGCGACCCCGGGCAAGATTTTAACATCGAAAAGCAGTGAATATTGTACGTGAAATAATCATGTTTAGCTAAAAGTGAAACCAGAGAAAAATCAACCGTGAAAGATTTGTTGAATAAAGTCGAAGGTAAGCTTCGAATGCTGAAATTTACAAGTGATGAAACCCCTAGTGTTTTGGAAGAGAATAAACAAAAACAAATTAAGAAACATGCCAAAGTTTTAGAATCGTTAATCAAGGAAGTTCATGAATTAAAAGTGGAAGTTGAGAGAGAAAGAATTGAGAAAGGGGATGACCCCACAGAAGTTAGAACATGGAGCCATGACTTAGAACAGACAGTGCTTGAGTATGAAAATGTTGTCAGCGAAGTGAAACAGCAATGTGAGAAACTGTGCGAAATAGAACTCCAGAAAGCTAAAAATAAGGAGACAGAAATTGAAGAAGAAAAGCGTAGGAAGCGTTACGATGAAGAGATTGCACTAGAGGAGGCTAAATTGGAAATGAAACGAAAGTTTGAAAAGGGATTAGAGGAAGCTAAAACGAAGTCTGCCAGCCAATGTAATTCTGCCAAGTTGCCCAAGTTAGTCATATCTAAATTCCAAGGAACCCACTTGGACTGGCAGAGATTCTGGGGGCAATTTGAAACAGAAATTGACAAAGCAGATATCAGCCCTATTACCAAGCTGTCATAACTTAAAGAGCTGCTTCTTCCAAAGGTTCGTGCATTTGTTGATGGTCTGCCCTTTTCTACTGAAGGGTATGAAAGAGCAAAAACTATCCTAAAGATGCGGTATGGGAAAGAAAGTGAAGTTGCAAATGCCCACATACAGAGCATTATTTCCCTGCCAACAGTACTTGGGACTGACGCAAAGAAAATCAACCGTTTCTTTGAAAAATTGGTTGCAAATACACAAACATTAGAAACCATGGGGAAGCTGAAAGAAGTAAAGGGTTTTGTATGAAGCACTCTGGACAAATTACGAGGTATACAGGCAGACTTAGTTCGGTCGGATGATGATTGGCAAGAGTGGAAGCACTGCAAAAATGGTGTGCGAGGAACACTATATCAGAGGAAGATCGTAAGTCGGATGACAAGGGTACCAGCCATTATCAACCAAAATCCGGGAAGTTTTTACATGCCAAACAGGAGTTGTGGAAACCGAAGCCATGTGTGTTCTGTGAGTCAACCCTACACAAATCTGTAGACTGCAACCACGTTGTGGACGTTCCATCTCGAAAGAAAATCTTGTCAGAGAAAAAGCTATGCTTCAACTGCACTGGTGTCAAGCACCGGGCATCCGAATGTCGAAGTAAAACAACTTGCTTTCGGTGTAATGCGAAATGTGGTGACACCTCTATTTGTGATGACCAAGCCAGTGTATCTAAATAAATTATGTTGGCTACTGGTAAAGGGACGGTGGTATATCCAGTAGTCGTAGCGTTTGTTAATGGAATAAAATGTAGAGCCCTCTTGGATACAGGAGCTGGCAGTTCTTATATCTCTGCAGAATTGGTAAAGCTCCTAAAGAAACAGCCTTCACGAACTGAATACCGACGTATTGACATGATGATGTCATCGACAACCCAGAAAATTGAAATCTACGATGTGACTGTGGCTGATGTTAGAGGAAAGTTTGAAATGAAATCCCAAGTGAGCAAGGTTGCTAAGAGCGTTCTCCTGTCTATACCCAATCATGGTTATGCTGATATCCTTTCCCAGAACCACCATCTACGCGGAGTCAAGATGGACGACGAAGACACCAAAGCTGAATTACCCATTCACCTCATCCTTGGGGCAGGTGATTATTCTAGAATCAAAACCACCACCAAACCTAAATTGGATCAGCCTGGCCAACCAACTGCCGAGCTCACCTTCTTGGGTTGGACAATAATGTCAGCTGGAGAGGAAGTCGATTTCTCAAATGTTTATCTTACCAAATCGTCTGCTGCAGACTATGAAGAGCTGTGTTCCCTGGATGTTTTGGGTCTCAAGGACCACCTGGAACAGGATCAGTTTGTGTAGAAGGAATTCCAAGAGCAATTAACACAGAGTGATGAGGGATGGTATGAAGCTCGTTTGTTGTGGAAGCCTGGTCATGAGCCATTGCCAAGCAATGAAAGAAACAGTTTAGGACGGTTGTCAGGGTTATTGAAAAAGCTTCGAAGAGATCAGAGTTGCTGACTCAATATGACAACATTATTTGTGACCATCTGAATAAGGTATTGTGGAGAAAGTCGCTAACGACCCGGTAGGAAAGGAATTCTATCTACCTCACCGACCAGTAATCCGAAAGTCTGCTGAGTCCACCAAGGTGCGAATCGTGTATGATGCGTCTTCCACGGAAAGTCCATCGTTAAATGACTGTTTGGAGACGGGCCCACCATTGCAAAATCTTTTATGGGACGTTCTCGTGAGGAATCGTATGAAACCAGTGGCATTGAGTGGGGACCTTAAGCAAGCCTTTCTTCAAGTTCGAGTACGTGCCCAAGATAGAGGAGATTCACTAAGATTCCATTGGATCAAGGACAAGGACTTGTCAACTGTTGAAGTCTTAAGATTCACTCGAGCACTTTTTGGCCTTGTTCAGTCACCGTTCTTGCTGGGAGGGACTATTCAATGTCTCTTGGAGAGCATGCGTCAAAAGTACCCTACAGAAGTTGCGGAAATCAAGAAAAGCCTCTACGTAGATGTCATTAGTGGGGGAGAAACTACAGAAGCAGTCCATAGTTTGAAAGCAAAGGCAGTGGAAATTTTCGAGCGAGGGAAGTTCACTTTACACAAGTGGCACTCTAACAAACCAGATCTGGAAGGGGGGAGCCAGCCCTCAGAAGTTAGTCAAAGTTATGCCAAGGAACAGCTTGGTGTCAAACCCGGTGAAACAAAACTGTTAGGACTCCCCTGGAATAAAGCAAAGGACACGATCGCAACAGTCTTTCCAAACAACATGCCTGTCACAACCAAAAGGGAAATGCTGCGATTTCTGGCTTCCATCTACGATCCTCTTGGCATAGTTTCTCCCATATCGCTTGTTGGTAAACTCATCTACCATGATGTATGTGATCAACGTTGGCCTTGGGATGCAGAGTTGTTGCCCCAGATATCTAACCGTTGGAGAAAATTAGAGAATGCCCTACCCGAAAAGGTTGAAGTACCACGCAGCATTGCCGTCTTTGAAGAGCCGATTGAAGCAGTCCATCTTCACGCGTTTGGTGACACCAGTTCAGAAGGTACGTGTGCAGCAGTGTATGCAGTTGTGCACCAGCAATTGGGAGTCAATCAAGGTTTAATAGCTGCTAAGTCGAGACTTGCGAAAAAGAATTTGACCATCCCACGATTAGAGCTTGTATCAGCACACATGGCATCAACCTTTGTCGACAATGTCAAGAACGCTCTGAGTTATCCAGTTATGTCAGTCCTTGGTTGGTTAGATAGTACTACTGCCCTTTATTGGATAAAGGGAAACGGCAACTACAAACAGTTTGTCGCCAACAGAACAAGGAAAATCAATGCCAAGGATTATATTCAATGGAGACATGTTGGGACACACCAGAATCCTGCAGACCTTGGAAGCTGTGGATGTACCAAACAACCTGTCTGAGTCGTGGTTGAAAGGGCCAGAGTGGCTGCCTTCTCCTGATCAATGGCCTGAGGACATAGTTGCACAACCCGGTAAAGAGTCGGAATTGGAAGTAAAGTTAGTAAAGAATTTGTTCGCTGCAGCTGTGGAAGTCAAAGACGAAGTGGATGAGCTCCTACAAAAGCACACCTTTTGGAAATCCGTTCGCATTCTTGGTTGGATTGCCAGATTCGTAAATAACTGCAAAGTGAAGTTGGCCAAGACGGTAAAGCAAAGTGGTACGCTGACAACAACTGAAGTTCAAGTGGAGTTGCTTGTGAAGAAATTCACCGAAAGACAGATCAAAACAGAACAATTTAAGAACGAACAGCTAAGGCTTAACCTTCAAAGAAACGTGAACAGTCTTTTTGAATGTAGAGGAAGAACCCAAGGCTTGTATCCAATATATGTACCACCTGGCATGTTGTTCAGTGAGAAAATGATCAAAGATGCCCACGTTCAAACGTTACATGGGGGAGTTGGGTTAACGATGGCCTTGATACGTCAGTGATACTGGATACCAAAACTTCGCCAGTCAACGAAGAAAGTGATTGCGAGCCGCCATGGGTGCAAACGATTCCAGGTAACTGCCTATCATAACCCAACAGTTGAAAATCTACCGCTCGACAGAACTGTTGGATCAACACCTTTTGAAGTCCTCGGTGTCGACTATGCAGGGCCCCTCATCTATAAGATCAATAAGACAAAGGATGGTAAAGCGTATATCTTGCTCTTCGCTTGCAGCCTCACTCGTTCTATTAATTTAGAGTTACTTCTTGACCAAACTACAGAGAATTTTATCAAATGTTTCAAGCGTTTTATTGCACGAAGGGGACGTCCGCTGAAAGTTTACTTGGACAATGGTAAAACTTTTGTTGCAGCAGCGAAATGGATCAGTAGTTTGGAGAAGAGAATTTCATGGTTTACTGTATCGAAGGCCTTAGAAAGGTCAAGAAAAACTCCTATTGTGTATTTACCTTCGTCTAAAGCTTTTGAAATTTTATCGGTTAGATTTAGTATGGCGTCTTCTGTAGATCTATTTCTTTGAAAACCATACTGATGATTTGATATGTTATGTTTTTCTACATAGTTAAATAGTCGTTTGTACACCGATATTGGTCTGTAATTTTCAAATAGGTTATTTTCATTTGCTTTGAAAATAGGAGTCACTAGAGCTATTTTTAGAAAATTTGGAATTTTTCCAGTTAAAAACGTTGAATTATAAATATGTGTTAGAGGTTTAACGAATTTCTTCTCCTCTCTTCGCTTATTTCATTGTGGCCTGTGCTTTTATTTTCATTTAAGTTATTAATTTCAGTCAGTAATTCATGTTCTGTTACAGGCTCAAAGAACATACTTAAGGTAGCTTTCATTACCACTAAGGTAGCTTTCATGTGATATATTGTTGTTCTTCGGAATTTTTTTGGCTAGTTGAGGACCAATTTTAACAAAAATTCATTAAATTTGTTAGCAATGCCAATGGGATCAGTAATGTTCCTATTTGAATTTTTCTGTGAAAAACTGTCGGGAAGTTTTTCTCTAGTTTTATTTCTATTTAGAACTTTGTTAATAGTTTGCCATGTCCTTTTCATATCATTTTTGTACTTTAAAAATTGGTTTTCATAATAATTTTTTTTCGCATTTTTAATAACATGCTTCAGTTTGTTTTTGTATTTTTTGTACATTGTTTCATTTTTATGAGATGGTCTTTTTTTAAAAAGTTTTATATAGCCGATTTTTCTTAGATATGGACCTAAAAAACACCACTTGTCATCCAGGGACTTTTTTCATGATCAAAAGATTTGTTTTTAATTTTTACAAAAGGAAAATTCTTATCAATTGCTGCTTTTAAATTATTATGAAAAATGTCATAGGATTCACAAGGATCATTTGTTTGAACCGTGTGTGACCATGATATATTTTTAACAGATACTAAAAATGAAGCGAGACTATCGTTGATAGTTCTTTTGTATTGTGTTTTTACCATTTTCGATTTATTTTTATTTGTTGATAAGGATGATATATGAAAAATTGGAAGTGATCTGAAATGTCAGAGAAAATTAAACCATTTATGCCAGACTCTATCTGTTTAAGGTCATTGGTAAAAATATTATCAATTAAGGTTGCAGTGTGCTGGGTGATTCTAGTTGGTCTATTAATCAGTGGGAAAAAAGATGAGGTGAAAAGTTGCTCACAGAATCCATTTGAATAGTCACAATTATCAATTTTCGGGAGATCGATGTTAAAATCGCCCATCAAATATGTTATCTTTTTTGTTTTATCAACTTCTGAGAGTATTTCGTTCAGTTTATTTTCAAACATTTCGTAATTGCCACTTGGTGGTCTATACATATTACCAAGGATAATAATTTTTCCAGTGGTTGAAATTATTTCAATGAATAACGTTTCAATTATTCCATCCTCGTTTATATTTAGGTCAGGACATATTTTGTAGTGTAGATCATTTGAGACATAAATACCTAAACCTCCTCCTCTTTTATTTACTCGGTTAGAACAAACAAAATTATAGTTGCTTAGGCCAAAATTTTCACTGTTTTGTTCGTTAAGCGAAGTTTCAGTTAAACTAATTATAGAAAAAGGTTGCTTCACAGTATTTAATAGATGTTTCAATGTGTCAAACTTGTTAGCTATACTTCTAATGTTAAGGTTTAGTATAGTTAAATTTTTGTTTTCATAATTAATTGTAGAAAAGTCGTTCGGTAGATGATAATTGCAGGTTGCATATTCTAAATTTTCATTGTTTTGAAGATTTTAAATGTCAGTGTCAATGTTAAAAGGATTGAATTTTAGTTGCGTTAGTCTATCCATATCCTCTTCGCTCGGTTAAAATTACCGAAAATAAAATAAAATTCTAAATTATCTGTTGAATGAAAAGGAAGCAAATTACTTAAACATGTGTCGCATATATAATTTCCGTTTGTTGACATCCGAGAGTTAATTTCGTACACACGGTGCGCGTATGAAACCATCCTCCGCATGTTAGACAATTTATACTTTTTTGATTTTTACCTATTATAGTAGAACAGGTAAAACAATCTTTCTTACCTAGTGTTAGACTTGCCATATCTTGTGTATATTAATAGTATAAAATAAGTTGAGTTATAGTACTCTCTGCTTTGCTGCTTTGGCCTTCTTCATCTCTGGATACAAAGTTTGTCTGATCTTCGCGATTTCCTCTGGAAACTGTTCAGCTATTCCAATGCGAGTTCCTCGGAGTTTCCTCGCATTATGACGGATAAATTCACGATCTCGAAAGTAATTGAATTTAACAACTATTGCTCTCGGTTTACATTGCGTGTTGCATTTCCTTCCAACTCGGTGTGTTCTGTCGATTTTGATCTTATTCCTGGCATCGGGAATTTCTCCTCGAGAATCTGAAAAATTTTCTCATCGTATTTTCCTTTTCCTCTTCTTCGACATTGAAGAATAGCAGGTTATCGCGCATGGATGAGCTTTCAGATCGACGATGCTCTCGTGTAGGTGTTGATTTGTTTCCTCTAATTCGGCTATTTCGATTTTCCTCTTCCGAATTCTTAGCATTTTCGACTTGCTCTTTTAGGTCTTCAACTTTTGCGTGCGCAAACTACTCTAATGAAGATTTCATCTGCTTCAAATCTTGTTCAACGCAAACAATTCGATTTTTGATCTCATCTAGGGTACCTAGTTTCGCCATGACAGTTCTGATCATCTCGTAGATTTCGTCCAATTTTTCATTATCTAATCGTTTTTCTTCGCTTTTTCCTAGTGATACTCTTTGATTTTCCACTCCTTAGCTTGATTATTTGGGGTAGATTTAGATTCTATTTGTCTACTGCTTTTCAAAGCATGTTGTCGTGTCAACATTGATATATGATCTGATCAAGATATGTATGATTAGATATGTATATAATGGGTTTAGGCAAGTAGAGAACATGGTTGTTACTTCTTAATTGATACGTTTGATTAGAAGAGATAGTAAAAAACTCACGGAGGTAATCAATTGAATTTCCTTTCATTATTTGTATCATTAGAGTTTCTAGTTGTTTCTCTCTCCTTTCCTGTAAGGTGGTGTTTTGTAGCATCACCTGTGATTATTCGACCTGCTTTATTTTGTAGCTTTTGTAGTTTGTTTTGCCAGGTTTTGGAACAATTACCCCATACTAATGCACAATAGTCAAAATGCGGTAAAACAAAAGCGCTATAAATAGTTTTAAGAGTATCTTTATCAAGTAAGTCTTTAGATCTTCTCAGTATTCCAATCCCTTTCGAGGCTTTTTTTGCTATCTTATGAATGTGATCTTTGCAGGTGATGCATTCATCTACTATAACGCCAAGAGTTTTGGTAGACGAAACATGTTTGATGCTTTCAGATCCTATTGATAGAATTGGTTCAGTAATAATTTGGGACTGCCTTTGTCTTGATCCAATTAACATATACTCAGTTTTATTAACATTTAGGGTTAACTTATTGGCTAATAGCCACATGTGAACATTATTTAAATCCTTTTCCAACTTCTCCTGTATCTTGCATGTGGTAGAGCCATTTACAGTAAGATTAGTATAATACAGTAAGATAGTGCTGGGGCTGAAGAGTCAAGACAATTAGGCAAA